AAACTCTCATTATATTAATGATAGTAATAGAAAATGGATCATTAAACTAACTGTATTAAAATGGTTAGATTCAGAAATAGTTTCTCTTTTTTTTTCATTGTGTATGTAATGTGTATTACTAAAATAAGAGTGTCTGAATTTAATGTTGAGTAAATCAGAAAAGGGACATGATCCTTATGGAAAAAACACTGAAAACATCAGTTTCTACCCTGATGAAATTACAAAACAGGAAACATCTTTCCACAAATCTAAAAAGTAGCTTGGTAAAAATACAATAAAGAAAGCAATTATTATCATCATATTCAGCTAATAAATCAGTAAAAAATGAAATAATAAAAAAAACTTATGAAGATATTGTACCAAATCATTTTTATTGCCTGTTCGAAGATATTTGAAGAACAAAAGTAAATTGTCTCTTTGAATTAAATAATATGAAATATTGCACTGTTGATGAGGAACGATACAAATGTTTCTATTCAGATTTCAGTTTACAAGTGAGACAGTTTACTGAAGACAAAATATCCAGTCTACACTGACCTGCTATTGTTATTAATATTTACAATATTGGTCAAGACTTCAATACATTTTGCAGTTCTCTGTCTTCCATATATTTTCTTCTCTATCATTTAACACTCTCTTTCTCTTACATAACTCACTGGCTTTTTAACAGCAGGGGTTGGTCGTGAAGTCACACTTAACTATTTCACCCTAGTTTTGTTTACAACAAACATTGTGTTAGTGGTTTTAATCACATTCCTAGCCTACAGCCTGATGAAGAAGCACAAAACAGGTCAGTTTTGAATTTACCTACACATGATGAATAAAATCTGTAATCAAAATAAAGTCTGATAAATCTTTTTGTTGTAACTTTTGATCTTTCGCTTTAAGTTTATGCCATCTTTTAGTACTTAGAGGTTTCAATTAAATGTTTTACTACAAGGTATTTTGGTTTCTTAACATACAGTATTTATAGATATATATAGAGTTTTTACTGTTTCCCCACAGAAATTTGAAATTTCCAAATATTTTTAGACTTGTCTAAGAGAATGAGACATCCAGTCCTGCTCCTACAACATGCCTGCATGCACAGCCAATTTGTCATTTGTAAGATCTACAGTGGCTAAATGCAAATGTACTGGAAGAATACAAGAATCTTTACTGACATCACCGCAAGCCACGTGCCAAGTCACGAGACTCATTAGTGTTGGAAAACAATGCGCAGATGAATCATAAATAACTCAGCATTAAAAATAATATTTTACATTAGGAAATTGACACTGTATATAATTCGTTTTGCTGTTGTTACTGTGCATAGAGGCTAATTTTTCTCATTCTGTTTTCAGCTTTCTCCAAAGATACAGATGCAGCCATTCAAAGTGCGCGGCACAGTAACGTACATGAGGTGATTGGCTACGGGCACTCGTGGTGTGTTGGTTGGTCGCAGAAAGATTTAAATGTCTTTACTGTGCCGGTTTTAGTATTGAATATTTATATGGAATTTTACAGCTGAAGGGAAATCTTAGTAGCTGAGCTTAAAAAGAATAGGAGCATACTGTAACGCGTGTAAAGGCCATAAACGATATTAATTTTGGAACATAAACATACAGTATATGGCTGGTCCCGGTACTTTAAAGAAAAAATACACACCAGTATTCCATTTCTCCCTAAACATTTTAAGCATCGAAGTCTTTAACTAACGTGATACCAGAGTCAACAAGCGGTAGTTTTAATTCTAACAGGGAATATAATATGGAATCGCGTATCTAAAGAAATTAATAACAATATAATTATATTCATGTACCGCAACACAAGAATAGTACATGCTGTATGATGTCTGTTGATAATGTTTCTGTAGGGCTTTTTCAACACTCCTCTTGTGACCTTGCCGGTGGCGCTGTGGGTTAGGTTCCTGACTCCCACATCACACGTTGGGTGTTTGAATCCAGCTGGAGCCATAACTTCAGTTTTTAACAAACATTTCTTTAAAAAAATAAAATGTTTCCCTGGGTCAGATTTTAAATAAATCTTCACTCGCACCAAACAAATTTATATTTCTAAATATCACAACATGATTGAATTTAAGTCATTTTAATAACTGAATGAATAGTCACCTATGCGTTGCAATATAAACATTTACATTGATTTAAATCACGTTTAAATCGCCTTTAAAACCCATAAATAAAGCTGATACTGTTTATACTTGTAATATATAAAACTGTATTACAGCAGCACAATGCACAATGCAATGTAAATCGCTATCTTTGTCTTCTGCGTAATAATGTTCACCGATTTTTTTTTTAAGAAATACAAAATGAGATATAATGATGTGTTCCGGCTTAGACATTAACGAAGAGCATAACTAAGGTCATAAAGGTCATAAACGATATTAATTTTGGAACATCAACATATTATGTAAACTGTATGTTGCTGTTATTGGAATTTTAAATAAAAAATACTGTAAAATCCTGGGTTCGGTACAATGTTTCAGGCATTCATGTGAAGGACAACAAAGCTTTCACTGGCCGATTTTCAAACTTTATTGATAAAACAAAAACAAAAACTATCCAACCAAGCCAGAAGAAGACAAAAAGAATAACGGAAACAGCACGAGCCCGCATTCTCTCCTCAGCCGTCCAGACCACACTTTTCCCTGGGTCAGAGATTAAATAACAATTCACTAACACAAAACAAATTACCACACACTGAACACTGAACATGTTAACCCAAATATGTCTCACAATACTTTTATGGTACATTACTTTGCTAAAATGTATTTAAAAATAAAAACGATTACAAACGCCAGCAGAAAGAGAGACACACACACAGTTCTTCATTGTCAAAAAGTAATTGTTTTTTACTTTGTCAGCACCCAGACAAACGCAAACGCGTTATTAATTAAATGCTTTTATTCATTCTTAATCTAACTCACAAGTTGTCATCTGCTGTTGAAGCTCTGTGAGACTAGACTCACACATGGCTAGACTTGACTATTTAAGCATGAGATTATGTTTGTTTATTAACTTTCCTTGTTATGCACTGAGAATGATAAGCACCACAAACATGGGGGCAGCGTAGCGGTCGGCTCTGGCTTTCCCATCTATACCGATGCACTGTAAGTACAACCCCCCTCTCTCTGGGAGTGCTGGCTGTGCCGAATTAAACCAGTTTCACAGGTATTTTCAATGTAGAAGGGGGCGAGATTTCCAGCAAAAGACACCCCCCCCTCCAAAACCCAGTAAGTACAGTACTTACTAGTTAAGAAAGCTAGGCTCCTCAATGAAATTGCTTTAACATGCTAATACGTTGGTGTAACAGTCCGGGCGTGGCAAGCTTCTAATGTCTCCCGACTACGGCGAAAGGAACCCTTTTTTAATTGGAAGACAATGAACATATTCTACCCGTACATGAGAATATAATGCTGGCGCGTGGGCGCGGTGGGGTGCTGTACAAGCTGTCAAAAAAAGCTGTTTTTTTTTTTAAAGTCAATTGAGTGTCCATAATATTGCAGTAAGTGAAAAGACCACGGGCATTCTTCCTCCCCCTACATTCTCAGAGTAGAATAGAATTTATTATTAGCACAATTTATTACAGTGCTAAATTTAATATTATTGATTACTAATAATTTATGCTAACACCTAGCTTTCTTAACTAGTAAGTACTGTACTTACTGGGTTTTGGAGGGGGGGTGTCTTTCACTGGAAATCTTGCCCCCTTCTACTTTGAAAATACCTGTGAAACCGGTTTAATTCCATATTAATTCCATATTTAATTCCTTCACTTTTGCATAAGCTTTCTGGAGGCAGTGGATGGGATGCAGCTCTTTCTGGGAATACTGCAAATTCACAGGTGCCTGACTTGATGGAATTCACATTATCATATTCACATATCACCCACCACCCCCTCTCTCTCTCTCTCTTGCTTGCCCTCCCACCTTTGTATTGTCTGTTTAGGGCAAGCGAGAGAGAGTGTGCTGTCCTTTGACAAAACAAGGCTTGCCAGATAATGTGAATCGAAAACTGTTTTTCTAGCTTTTAAAGTCGTGCGATGTGTAAGCAGGAACACATCATTACATCTTACATATGAAAAATACATTATATAGCTCCCAAACAAGCGCAAACGTGTTTTTAATAAAATGCTTTTATTCACTCATAATCTGACCATTTCAGGAAGACTAAGGAAGGA